TATATATATATATATATATATATATATATATATATATAGTAAAAGCTAATATGGTAAGCGATGACATCTGACTGGTTGAGCAGTTATCTCCTCTCTATAGCTCAAACGGTTGCACAACTGAACTTTGCCAGGCCACATGCAACACGCTTAGTGTGAGCTTATTCCCAAAGTTCATCTTCACAACCTCATCAGTAGATTGGAATTGTGGACTCTAAAACTTTTGTCTAAATATAGACTTATAAATGTATTAGGAAGGTTTTGTGTTTTAAGTTATACAATCAATTGGTAATATTCCTCAGTTCAAGGGAGGTCAGGTCATCCAAAAAAAAAAAGTTACTTCAATATATAACCGTTTTATTATACAGAAAACACAACAAAAATGTAATACTTTATTTAGTTTATAAGAATGGGGGAAAATGATCTGTTCTGGCTAAAACAAAGGATTTAATTAACAGAATAAACTGGAGCAAAGTGCTGGGAGGGTTTCAGGTTCAGCTTTAGCAATAAAAACCCATTACATTACAGTTCCCACCAATAGATGGACATTAAATAACTTTGAGCCTTCCCTTGAAACATCTCACAGTAGAGTCAGTAAGCTAAGCATCAGTCTAACCTTGCAGATGTGTTTCTCTTAAGCTATTACTTTTTGTGTAGGAAAGTAAATAAAACAATCATTTCCAGGTAATAAAAGCGAAAAATAGAAAAAAAAACAAAAAAAAAAACTAATAATATATTTTCCACCACATTTGGCCACTGTTAGTCAGTTTTCCCACTGATTGATTTAGAGAATATTTGCAGTCAGGAATATTTCTTTTTTGTGGCATATTTGTAACATTTAATTATTTGAAAGATCAGCTAATAGACAATGATATTTCTAGGAAATAAAGAAGTAATAAATACATTTATTTTATAATCTTTTCTCACAGCAATAGCCGAACAAAACACCCTCCATTTTTCAGCATTGCCACTGTTATGCAAGCCTTTATTCTCGTAATGTTACAACTTTATTCTCATAATTTTGTGACTTTATTCTAGTAATTTTACAACTTTATTCTCATAATTTTACGACTTTGTTGTTGTAATATTATGACTATTCTTGTTCCAACCTTATTCTCGTAATTTTATGACTTTATTCTCTTAAGTTTATGACTATTCTTGTTGCGACTTTATTCTCGTAATTTTACGACTTTATTCTCATAATTTTACGACTTTGTTGTTGTAATATTATGACTATTCTTGTTCCAACCTTATTCTCGTAATTTTATGACTTTATTCTCTTAAGTTTATGACTATTCTTGTTGCGACTTTATTCTCGTAATTTTACGACTTTATTCTCATAATTTTACGACTTTATTCTTGTAATATCATGACTATTTTTGTTGCAACTTTATTCTTGTAATTTTATGACTATTCTTGTTGCGACTTTATTCTCAAAAAAATAAAAATAAAAATCTCTAATCTTAAAACTCCGTCGTAGGTCTGGTATCAGTTTCAAAACACCAAAGTATACTGGTTCATTTTATGACCAGTTGTTTTCAGGAGCACTAGAATGGGAAGTTACAGATCTAGCGCCCCTAGTGGCCAAATGTTACATATTGTCGCTATTAAGAAATAATGTGAGTAACAATAAAAGATCAAGCTGAATTGATTGAAATGTTAGTAATGACATTTTTTTCTCTTTCTGTCCTGTCAGAACACCATCATTGATCCAAAGAATGACCTCTCCTACACCATGTGGAGGGACCTCCCGGTGCCCTTCTTCATGTCCGTCTACTTTTTTCACGTCCTCAATCCTGAAGAGATCCTGAAAGGAGAGAAGCCCATGGTGGAGCAGAGAGGACCTTATGTGTACAGGTATAACACTCCACCTCTCCACGCCTCGCTCTTACACCTCTGGATGCTTTCCGTCCTCCATTTCCATGCTCCAGTTTTAATCAGGTGGAAGAAAACAAAGCAACCTTCAGCATGTTTGGGTTTATTTATTAGAACATGTTTAGGCTGGAAAGGAACGCAGTGTTTTTCAGCCTGCTCCCTGCCAGCGTCACTGCCAAAATACAGATTAGTTCTGCATGTTGCTTGCTTGACATGCAGCCTGCAGCAACTAAACATGTTTTATGCTGAATGCTTGCGGAGTGAACAGGTTTATTCTAGAGGTTTACTCAGTTTAACTGTAGGTTTCTTTGTATTTCTTAGAGATGAGCTTTGTATTTGACTTTCTGTTGAGCGTGGCCCAATCTGCCTGGTGTGAGATTAAAAACAAGCCGTTTATTTTGAAACAAACGAGAGCGGCTTGTGTGACCTCAATTTCTGCTGACTGAAGCGAGTGACTTCCTGTCATGCATGAATGAGACATTTTTTTTATTTAAAAAAATGATCCTGCTGTTTTTTTTAAGTCATTTAACATTTCTTAAAGGAATAACTTTTCTTAAAGAAATTTACAGCAATAATAAATTTCCTGATATGTCAGAATTTGCAAATAAATTTGGATAAACTGTTTCTAGAACCCTCCAGGTCCTGTTGCCCCTGGTAACGGTCCTCTATCTGCTCTATGCAGAGGACATCCCTGCCTGTCTGGAAATATTAGTGAATTAAATCTAGTTCTGTAGCTTTAAATGCAGCAGGACAGCCAGTGTTAGGACGTGCTTTCTTCATTTAGAGATAACTGTGGAGTGAATTTTGTTACATTATTGTTCTACACAAAAAACACATTTGAATTGATATTTAAAAAAATGTAATCCAGAATTAAAACTGAAAAATATTTTAATTAAATACATTTTGGGGAATAACTTTGCTTTTTTTTCCTTTCAGATTTAGTTTTTTTCCACAAAAATTAGTATTTTTTTCAAATGTATTTTTTAAAACTTTTTGTTTTATTTTATTTTTTTTTACAAAATTTGTATTTTCACCTTTTATTATAATTTTTTCTTAGATTTAATTTACAAATCACTTTCTCTTCACTTCTGGGAACTGTTATTATCTGGACTTGAGGTCTGCAGGATGTTAGCAGCAATATTTTTGTAGGTCAATGCGCGCATTGGGCTTAAAGTGAGGAGAATGTGACATATAAAACAACATTTAAAAAAGAATGCAGTTTTTGAAAACAAAAAAGCAAAATATAAAATCTGTAAAACTAAAAATTAATTAATAAAAGACATTTTAATCTCTTGCGACAATATGATGAGGATATTTAAAAAAAAAGCATCGGAAAAATATCGGTATGGGCAGAAACCCAAATTCTGTGAACGGATCAGAAGTGAGAAAATGTAGATCGCTGCATCCGTTATCTTAACTCTTGCTGTCAGGTTCTGTCCAAGTCTGGCACGGATGGGAAAGTGCAACAGAACTGGAACAATGTGTTTAATCAGTAAATTGAAAATTGTAGAAATTGACTGCTCCTTTATGACATAATGAGCAGGAAGCTTTATATACAATAGATGTCTTTAACAAAGGAAACCACAAATGATTCTAAAAAAGCTCCTCTTACATTTAAAAGTGGCTCCTGATGGCAGACATGTTGGTTTCTAATTCAGACAGTAGGCAAATTAAAAACTGAGCATTGAATCAATCAATAAGCCTCTGATTGAATTATCTCTGGCTTAAGATGACGTGTTGTGAATTGGCTCTTTATCAATAAAGTGAAAAACTGGAATTGAATGAGGTACTCTGCAGATAAAGTTAAACTACATCTTGATTGATTTACTCACGGCTCTGGAAGGTTGGGCTGTTTTTAAATGGCTGTTTGATTGGCTCCTTATCAAAAATCATTTGCAAATCTTCAGACTTGAGCCGCCGGCGTTTTAAGATAAGGCACCAAAAAAATAGTAATAGTCTCACAACTCTGCCAAAAAAAAAAAAAAACGTCATAAAAATGGGCCAAAGTGTTTTCATTTTCTTTCTTGACTCTGGACAACAGATCGAGAATACAGAGAAAGCAATAAGTTCAAATGGTTTCTATTTTCTGTTTTTTTCATATATCATATGTCAAATTCGTAGCACAGCTTAGCGGTTTCTTTCTGAAGAGGATATAGTTAAGCTGGACAAAAACAAAAAGCTGAAATGTAAGTCTGAAAAACTGATGTTAGGGGACGATCTTTTATTTCCAGGTGGATCATGTAAATAAGTGGTTCTCCTAACTGTCAATCATTCTGGTGACATGTTTACGTAATGCTGTCCTACGTGCTCGTCCCGTTAGCTATCTTTTCTGTGCATGCACACTTTCAGGCATATATCTGTGGTGAGCTCCTGTTATTATCCTGTTATAATAGTCTCTAACTAATAATAATAAATTATTACTTTTTTAATTTAGTGTGGGAATAATAGTGAACACAGTCAGATAAACACAAATCGAATGAACATTTTGCCAAATAAAACAAAAAAACTCGCCATCAGAGCCAACGATCCTTCACACGCCTATGCAGAGAGAGGGCTTCTGCAGACGGGCTGGGATTAGACCTGGCTGCCGTTAGCCTTGAAGGTCCGCTGGTTGCAACGTTTTTTTTAAATTACACATTAAATCGGTAAATTGACCATATAGTGATACTTTTACTGAACAACAGCAACAGAAAAAATAACTTTTATCTTAATACTCTGAGCTCTGTTAGCGCTCCATTAAAAGCTGCCGCGGTGCATGCTGGGACAGCTGTCAATCTCAAGAACGGACAAGTCTGCTCTGATGCATGCTGGGTAAATAGGGAGGGGCGAGAACAACATCCGTTCTCAGTCTTCTTGTTCTTGTGAATTGGAACAGTACTAGGGCTGAGGCTGATGATGTTTCACAAGCACAAGAGAACACACAAGTACACATTTGGAGAAACGGCCAAAGTGGCTACGAAGTGTATGAGAATAAAGGAAAGGCCTCAGAAGAGGCAGATATATCCCAGAATGCTTTGTGCAGACAGTTCTCCTCACAAAGCATTATGGGATTTGCTGTCACAGCGGCCAGGTGTCACTACCCGATCCGTCCAGGAAGCATGATCCGTCCTGCGCATGCCCGAACAGAATAATAAGATCCGGATCGCCAAAAACATAACGGTACTGAAAATACTTTTTTATATACTTAAAACATTAAAGAATGCTAAACTACATTGTATAGAAAATATTGAAGACTTTTCTGGAAGAAATGGATACGTTTTACATTCTCTCCATTGTATTGCGTGACGTTATCATCGGACATGTAGTCACATAAAGTCGTATGGAAATAACTGTTCCAACCATTGCATCTGTTCCAACTGTTTCTCATCTCATTTAGCTACTCAAATTAAGGATAAATACACTTAATTTAAAGACATTTTTACTTATTTCTAGACTGTTTTTCTAGTGTAGTATCTGGTATTTGATAGTTTAATGACTGTTTACTGGAACACTCGAAAAACAATCTAGAAATAAGTAAATATTTCTTAATTTAAGTGTATTTACCCTTAATTTGAGCAGGTAAATGAGATAGTTTGCCAATGGAATGAGTACTTTTATTCTTAGAATAAGATAATTAGATAATATGCACTTTAAATAAGACAATACAATTGTGTTTTCTTATTTTAAGTGTAAATTGTCTTGTTCCATTGGCAAAATGTCTCTTTTACCTCCTAAATCCAAGAACAAATTAACTTTTTTAAAGAAAAAAGGACCTAACTAGATTTAGATTTCTTCCAGTGAAGGAGAAATGTCTGCATTTTAATCAGGATTTCGGTTTTATCAGGCCTTAGGGCTGCTGGAACATGTGTTCAGAGGCCTTTATTAACAGTCAATATCGGAAAATATTTTTCTTAAATTTTTTGTTTTGTTTGATCTATTTTGAAACAGGCTTTTTTTTTACTTAACAGAGACTCCTGGACAGGTGTTGAAACGTTTTCAGAAAATAGGCGGTCGGCCTCATACCAGCCTGATTAGCTCGGACCTGAGAGGCTAAATCCTTTCCTCTGACTGCCGTGCACTTCTACCCGGATGTCACTGAAATTATAGAACAATGGTCTTGGGGGTCGTGACCCAAGTGGGCACTGCAGGAGGCGTCGTTAACTTTGGCTGAAGAAAATTAAGATCTCCTTTGATTCATCTAAGATATATTAGGTATAGTAAAATTAGCAAACTTATGGAAATGAGAAAAAAAAAACTTTTAAGTGTTGCCCTTAAAAAGGTAACGAGATGCTGATATGAAGATGTTTTAACTGTGAAGTTCTCTTTAGTTTATATTGGTCATTGGCCATTAGGTCATTATGTTTACCAGCAGAGATATTTATGGAGTAAAAAAAGAAAAAAAAAAGAAGTTAAACCAAATATGTGATTGCAACATCAAAATGATTCTTCATTGATTTGTTTAGTTTAAATTGGGTCCAAGGTAATCATCCCTCCATCTTACTGGACTCCTAATCATTCTTACTTCCTTTATAATCTTATCTTCTATCATCTTTATCGCTTGAAAGAGATTCTGCGTTCTAAATGTACTTTGAACCACAGACTTGAAATCTTTTTCACCATTTCAGATGTTGGAGTATGGAGTAAATTTTTATCCATTATTTTTGCAAGCAAAGAACAAGCTTTTAAATAGAATTTAAAAAAAATAAATGTAATCTATGAGTAAAACTTAAAAAAGCCCATTTAAAACCCCTCAAGCCCGGAGGCTCTTAGGAGAAAATTCTAGTTGAAAAAACATCTGTGAATTAAAGCAAGTACAGCTCCCAAACTATAAATTGGAAATACAATTGTTTGTATTTGTGTGACAGAAAGGCATTGAGGAATATTGTTCAGGTGGAACCACTATTTAAAATGTCACCATGTCTGATTTATAGGTGATTAAACAAAGAAAAAAAAAAGAAAAATATTAAGCATTACCAATTTTCTTCCCAAAATAAACACTTCAAAACCGCATGAAACTCCATTTGAAACTCTGGATGAAGCCTCTGACTTTATAGATCTGCATCTTTGATATAACTGAAGCAAATTTGGACTGAATAAGTTGAAACATGTTTGTTCCACCAAAGTTCTAGTGGACAGTGTGCTAGGCGGAAATGTGCAAAAACGCATTTTTCCACTCATTCAAAGGGAATCTGGTCAGACAAATATGCTGATTTACTTTATTGGAGACCATCTGCATAAGACAAAGCCTTTGCTCCTAAGATTTAGCCGCTGTTTCATTGGAATTTACCAATGATATCACCAAAGTGAATACAAAATAAAGATAACAGAGCAGGCTTATGTAAGGCATGCCGGGTACTAGTGTTGCACCGATACAGTAGCCTCGTGAGACCATCCTGATCTCGCGAGCTTTCAAGGTTTCACCCGCTAATCAGTCTGGAGACTCTCCGTTAAAGAAAATTTGGAGCCGTTCACCAAATGAACGTCCAATCAGCGTTGGCTTTGAGGCGGGTTGAGGTGTGACGCAACGAGAAGCGCGGCAGTTCAGTCTAAAGAACATGGCGGCTTCAGCCGATGAAACTAGCGTTAGCGTGGCTATCGAGCAAGGTTTATCAGAATTACACTGTATTTCTTCACTGAAAGAAGAGCAAAACACTGCTCTGGAGGCTTTTCTCAGAGGAAAAGATGTTTTTGCTATTCTCCCGACTGGTTTCGGCAAGAGTAGCCTGGCTTGTGGTTGTGTTTTCTTCGTCGCTCTGTTAGTACGTCATATGCTTCGTTGATCTGATTGGTTTATCTTGGCCCGTCTATCACCAACATAGGCCAATCAGCTAACCAGTATTTTCGCTCCTTCACAAAATTACTTCAACGGAAGGTTTCCAGATGGATATGCGGAGCAAATCCATCTGGCGGAGTCAGGTTACCGATACAGTATCAGGCGGGGCGCTGATCCAGCACTAAAATGATGGTATCGGTATCGGCGAGTACCAACAAATAGGGCACTGATAGTATTTTGAGAGCCAAAAGATTATTCAACTATTGTCACCCATTCCAGGTAGGCAATAAAAAGTTCTACTGGATTCACTTTGTATTAGTCTTTTTCGTGCTTCACAAAGGTAGCCAGCAGGTATCGGTATCTACCAATACTGCACAGCCAGGTATCGGTATCGGGGGCAAAAATGGCATTGGTGCAAGACTACCGATTACATCATCTGAAATGGTCGCACAATTAGCGCCGACACCTCCTTGGAAAGGTCTGAGCCTCTAGTTTCCATTAGGGACTGTAGCTAAAAATGAATACCTGCTGTTGCATTACTCTCGCAAAGTCACGTGGAATTTAAAATCTTATTTTTTTTGTTTACACAGCTATAAAACAGAAAGTACTTGTGAAAAAATAATTTTGAAACATGTTTTAGAAATATCAAAGCCCTATTTGAAAGGCATGTGGATGAAACACCATGTGACTGCGTTTTGGCCATTTCTATAAATGGATGAACCTCAGCTGGTGTCAGTTGGGCCCTGTCCGGTCTTTGCTTTTTACTCAAATTTAACATCACTTATTATACATACACAGATTTTATGTTTTCAAATAAAACTTTTTAAATTATAATTTTCAAATAGTTTAATTAGATTTTTGTTTTTTCTAAAATAGTTTAATTGAATTTTAAAAAGAGAAACAAGGCTTTTATAGCAAACAAAGTGGTATGAAAAAATTGTTCTTTGTATTATTAAAACAAAGCAGTGCAATGCTCTTTTTTCTTTTCAATTTAAAAACATGTTGGTTATGTTTATGAATAATGGAATAGAGAATTCCCTCCATATCTTGTCCTTCCTGTGTTTCAGAAAACAGTGTCAGAAGGAGAACATCACGTTTCACCCCAACAGCACAGTGTCCTACAAAGAATACAGACAATACTTCTTTGAGCCCTCCATGTCTGTAGGGAACGAGTCGGATGTCATCACCATCCCCAACATGTTGGTGCTGGTATGAGAGAGAGGATACGCCAAAATTTCAAGATGTACCTTTAGTTTCTACCTTTTTCTTAAATGCATCCTCCTTTTGTAGGGTGCAGCGGTGATGCTGGAGGACATGCCCTACGCCGTGCGGCTGCTGATCAGTGCCACCTTCAAGACTTTCAAAGAAGGGCCCTTCCTGACCAAGACGGTGGGAGAACTGATGTGGGGCTACGACAGCGATCTGGTCGCGTTCCTCAACAAATACCTGCCGGGGATGCTGCCAGCGAGTGGAAAGTTTGGCCTTTTTTCAGAGGTGATTTTATAGATTTTTACTCGTTTGTTATATCTTTGTTAAAACAGACGTAAACTATAGAGATCTGTCCTTTCCTTATCTCTCCCCAACCAATGCTACCACACCCCAGCTGGTCGACACTAACTGGCTGCAGTGTTCTTTGGCAGAAAGCAACTTTATCATTGAATCCCAGCCATGGAGTGCTCTGCTATTGTAGCAGAGGGTTTTGTTTTTCTATTGTTTTTGCAGTTCCTACAAACAGCTTTTTTAGTTATGTTTCAATTATGAAAGTAGGAGACTCGAGCCTTGGGGTCCTCCATTTCATTACAAGCACTAAAGTATACAATAATTGGCCCAAATGGAAATATTCATCCCTGACCTGCAGGATTTAAAGGATAATGCCTCAAACTGCCCTTTTTTCAGCCAGTGGTGGGACTTGATTAAAATGTTTTATTGAGTGAATCACTGGGTCTGTGATTAATTAATTACAAATTAATCAAATCATGTACTGTTGATTAAACTGAACAGCCTTTTAAATTCGCTGACGCCTTTTGCTTCTTAATTATTGAAGAAATAATCATAGCAGGACATCAGCGCATGTATATATTTATTATAGTAAATAAATATAACTTTTTGAATCCAGATGATATGATTGATTTTGATAGGCTGAATGAAAATAAGTAAAACATAATGTGTGTTTTTTCACAAACGTGTATGTATAAAACAAGAACACCAAGATGAAGTGAGTATAAGAAAAGTTAATCTTCAAAAGAGTGAAAAGAAGCTAATTATTGTTTAGTCCCTCAGTCATTTAGCAGTTTGACAGAAACTATTTATTGTGATTTTTATAGAGTGCATTCAGAAGTTTGTGCTTCCTCATAAATCAAAGGAATAAAATGACATGGGATGTTAAGTGGCAGTAAATGCTTGTTAGCTGTAAATATAATCTATGCTGAGTGATAAAGAACAAGATCCTGAATGTTAGTCACAAAGAAAACTGCTGCATGCGCGCATGTAATGATCCCACCGCTGCTGCTATGGTTTAAATTGGTATGATTCGCAGATAAGGCGTGGCTAGCTTTAGATTCCTCAGCTCTTGTTTCCTTGAATGAAAATATGTATTTTTTATTTGATACAGGGTTTCAGCGGGTCATTAAACAGGGTTCCTGTGGGTCCTTAAAAAGTCTTAAAGGAATAGTACACCCAAAACATGATTAGCCTTCATTTTCTACTCACCCCCATGCTGAACAACACTCTGGAGTACTTTTTTG